GAGATTGTGGCAAGAAAGGCTCTTACTCTCGAACTCTCTATTTGATTTCATTGTTGCACATAAACCTGTCTGTATCTGTCTGCCTGTATATCTGTGTATCTCTGCATGTCTGTTAATCTACCTGTGTGTGTCTTTCTGTCTATCTGTGTGTCTATGTCTACCTGTGTGTTCCCCCTTTTTCCCTGTGTGTCTGCCCTTTCTGCTACCTGTGTGTTTTTTCTGTCTCCCTGTGGGGCCTGTCTTTCGTCTCCCTTTGTGTGTATTCACCTAGTTGTATAAAACCTAGTTGGGTTGGGGGGGGTCAGCCCGGGACTCCGGGCCCCCGCCTCTTCACTGTTTCGCTACAGGTCACTCCCCTAAAGCCGTGAGCTTTATCTTTAACCTCTCCCTTAAAAAGCTATGTATGGATCCCCCTCCACTACATCATTTCCCCAAACTTTCCATTTAAACTGACTCTCTGGGGCTGAAGAAAAAACTTCCTAACACCCCTTGTGTTTCATTTGGTTTTCGCTTCCAACTGGGGCCCCCTTGTTACTGTGTCCAATCCTGTGTCTGTTTTCGTCTAATTGCGTGTCTGCCCTTTGTCTCCCCTTGTTTTGTCGGGTCTTTCCTGCCCTCCCTGTGTTTTTCGGGTCTTTGTTCCCTGTGTGGGGTTTTTCTGTCTACCTTTTGTCGTCTTTCTGTTGTTTGTCTGTCTCAGACCCACTCATTAAGAGTGTAATTGGCCCCTTGAAGTTTGCCTTTTAAATTAATGAAACACTTTAAAAATTTTACTGAGGCGCATTAAAGTGTATAAAACGTTAATATAGACATTTTGCTTAATCCATCATGTTTTTTTTTTTAAAAAATTTTTTAAAAAACCCCATGCAAAATAAACATAAAAAACATATAAATTAACAAATTGAAATGTTTTTTTTTGGTTTGGGTTGAAGAGTAAACCCAAAAACCATTGCCCGGGGCCCGGGTAACAACAACAACAAGGTTTTTTTCCCATAATGCGAACCTTCCCCCATCCCCATTTCTCTTTTTTTTTATTCATTTAATTTGTTTTACTCCACCTCTAAATTACTTTAAAGATACAGATTTTTTTTAAGGAAGAAATTGGTGGACACGATTTTTTGTTTTTTTTTTTTTTTAAACAAAGTGGGGGTTTTTCCCCACGAGGCAGGGTCCCCCCCCAAAAAAAAAAGAAAAAAAATCCCCAAAAAGAAAACTTTCATCTTTCATTCAACATTTTCACCACCCCCGCACTTTTTCACTGTTTTTTGCAGGGGTGTCAGAAAAACAAAGCCCTAAAAAGCTTACACATATAAAGATCCCAAAACCCATACCCCTCCAACTCCCAAATTTTCCCAAACCCCCCCTTTTAAAAAGTGCAGGCATTTACTTCCCTTTTCCCGGGAAATCAATTTCCGATAATGAAAAAAACCTTTTCCCCTAAATTCCCCTTTCCTAAATATTACCTGCTCACACCCCAACAGATCGTCGGGTTTCCCCAAGTCCCAAATTGCCCTCCATTCACCCCTATCTAACACGTCACCAGGGTTTTCCCTGGAAGCCCCAAACCCCCTTGGGCCCCAAAAAATTCCTTTCCCCCCCACTCCAACCCTTTCGAGGAGCCCCCCTTTCCCCCCCTTTCCCTTTCCCCAATAGTTTTATTTGCTTTCCAGCTTTCCCTACTTTGATCCATTCTCCTAAATGACCAAACCACCTCAACAACCCCTCTTTTTCCCCTTTTAAATATTTTTATTAACCCCACACCTTCCTAATTTCCCACTCCCGAAAATTTTTTGATAATATTTACACCACCCCTTTTTCCCTTAAACAGGCATCTCCACTGGGCCCCCAACCCTCCCCCTCGCTGCTGCATTTTCCCCCCAAGCTTCACACCCATTAAGAGTGTTGGTATACTTAACTTTTATACATTCCCTTCTTTGCCTCCATAGATAACGTTTTTTTACTCCAAAATAACCCCAAAGCACCCCTCAAACCTTTTTTTTCCCCCATTTAATTTTTATGATTAAACCCCATTTCCCTTTAAAATCCCTCCCCCCGACAAAGTCAACCCCAAATATCTGAAAACCATTCACTTTTTTCCATACCCCCTCCTCCCCCAATTTAGGGGGGGGTTCCCAAATTTTTTTTTATCTAAAAACATTTTTCACCCCCATTTAAATTTTCTTTTTCTTTGTTTTAAATTTCCAAAATTTCTACCTTTACACACATTCCCAACTCATCCACTTAACCCTTTGGGGGGGGGGGGGGGGTTTTTTTTTTTAGAAAATTCCCCTAAGCACAGTATCATCAGCAAAAAAATAAATGTGTCAATTCCCCTTTTTTAATTTGATTCCCAAAAAAAATTTTAAACCCCCCCTCTCCCGAACACCCTGCATTTACTTCCTTTACAACCCCCTCTATAAATAATTAAACCCCAACCCTGGTGAACCCCTTACACATCCCCGTCTAGACCTACTTTTTTCCGGGGAAATAGTCTCCCCCCTCTTTTACACACCCCAACCTGAGCCCCACTATCCCATAAAAACTCTTTAAAAACATTTTAAAAACTTACCACCTTTTTCCATAACTTGAACATCTGCCACATTTTCCTCTATCCAATCTATCTTTTCCTTTTTTTTAAATCCCCTAAAGCAATAAAAACCCTTCCCCCATCTTTTTCTAAAAACTGTTCACATTTATGCTTCAATGTTTAAAAAAACCCGATCTCCATTCCCTACCCCCCTCTGAAAACCCCCTTGCTCCCGCAAACCTCATTCTGTCTTACCTCTAATTCTTTAAATTTATAACCCTACGTACATTTTTCCCTGGTATACTCAGTAAGCTTATTCCTCTATAATTTTTACAGTCTCTTTTGTCCCCTTTCCCTTTATATAAAGGGATATAATGCTCTCTGCCAACCCCTAGGTCCCTTTCCCCCTCTTTCATACATTTATTAACAAAAGTACCAACCACTCCAACACTATATCCCCCCCTGTTTTTAAAACATTTCTGTCATGATCCCATCAGTTCCAGCTGCTTTACCCCCCTTTCATTTTACGTAATGCCTACGTACCTCCCCCACACTTACATTCTGCTCTTCTTACTCCTAAAAGATGGTATACCTCCCTGACCAGTGCATGAAATTACTGCCTCTGTTTCTTCCTTAACATTTAAAAGTTCCTCAAAATATTTCCCCGCCATCTACCCAATACCTCCATCTCCCCATCTACTAACTCCCCTACTCTGTTTTTTAACTGACAAATCCATATTTTCCTAGGCTTTTTTAAACTTGTTTAACTCACTCCAAATTTTTTTTTTCTTATTTTCATTAAAATTTTTTGACAGTGCCTCTCCCACTCTATCATCTGCTCTCCTTTTGCACTCTCACCACTCTTTTTACCTTTCTTTTACTCCCCAAATATACTCTGCTCTTCTTAAAAACACTTCTGCTTTGTAAAAACCTCTCATAAGCTACCTTTTTCTCTTTTATCACCCCCTTTACTTCATCATTCCCCCAAATCACTCCTCTTTCCTCCTGCCCCCACCCTCTATAACCACAAACTTCTGCCCACATTCTAATACTGCATTTAAAACTATTCCAACCCTCTTCAAACCCCCCACTACTCATCTTTGCACTAGCCCACCTTTCTGCCAGTATTTCCGCTTATATCTCACCCGAACTTCCTCCTCCCTTATTTATACACTTTCACCTCCCTCTTACTTGTTGTTGCCACCTTCCTCTTTTCCCATCTACCTCTTACTCTAACTGTAGCTACAATAAATAATGATCCGATATATCAGTTGCCCCTCTATAAACATGTACATCCTGGAGCCCACCCTCAACCTTTTATCCACCAATACATAATCTAATAAAACTACTTTCATTACGTGCTACATCATACCTTGTATATTTTTTTATCCTCTTATTCATAAAATATGCATTACTTATTACCAATTTTCTTTCTACAAATAGCTCAATTTAAAGGCTCCCCATTTACTTTACCCCTGGCACCCCAAATTTACCTACTACTCCCTCCATAACATTTTTACCACTTTCGCATTGAAATCCAACACCATTCTCTCACACTGATTCAAAAACATCCCCACGCATTTCACTCAACATTCCACAAATTCTCTCTCTCTCTCTTTCACTTCTCTCTTCTCCAGGTGCATACACGCTTTATTATAACCAACTTTCACATCCAATCTTTATTTTACTCCACATTAATCCTTGAATTAATAACATTTATTAGTCCTCTTTTTCCTGCATAGGCTTATCCTTAAAATTATTGCTACTCTTCTTAGCTCTAACTCTATTTGAAAACCCCTGACTATCCCATTTATTCCTCTCACTGAAACTCTCCCACCCCTTCAGCTTTGTTTCACTTAAAAGCCTGGACATCCCAGGCTTCTCTCATTCATAACATCCACAGTTCATCCCTTTCTTATCCTCTGAACAACTTCCACGAACATTCAGAATTCCCACTTTGACAATTTTCTTCTTCTTATTCTTTTTAGTAATCTTTACAGGGAAAAGGGGGTCGTTACTAGCCAATTGTTCCGGCATTTTAGTTGACTTTTACAACACGCATGGCTTACGGAGGAAAGATTCTTATTCCACTTCCCCATGGATATAAAAGGGAAAAGTTAATAAGACCAAGAACTATTAAGATAAAATCAAAGAAAATCAGTGGAGTGTGTTATAAATAAAGTGTACATGTATGTGTAGGTGTGACCTAAGTGTAAAGTAGAAGCTTGCAAGCATGCCTGTAATCTTGCATTTTATGAGGGACAGGACAAAAGGACATCTTGCCATTCCTACCTCATGTAAAACAATAACAGGCTTTCGTTTTTAACACTCACTGGACAAGCGGTAGTATCCTCCCTGGGTGGTTGTGTCTTACCAACCTACTTGCCTACATATATATTCATATATAATAATATCATGACTAATTAAAAAGAATGGCACATAAAATGCAGAAAAATAAGATATCTATACTTACTTATGATTTGAAGTTAGAGTTACAGGGTCAATGAAGCTAATGCCAAACTGTACGAGCTGCTTCCTTACAGCTTCAATCTGAGGGTCAGGTGGTGGCTCAACAGTCTCCACAACCTCGGCTTCTACAGGCTAATGCACAGAAGTAACAAATTAGCTTAAGATAAAAATTATTAATAAATTTCACTCAATAGCCATCTCCCACCAAGAAAGGGTGACCCCAGACAAGACAATGCATTCACCATCATTCATTCAACTGCTCTCCCCAGAAGTGTGCTGATGATCAGATTACCCTCTGACTGCAACATCCCCACCTCTCCTGTAACATGCAGACACTGCATTTTCCCCACTTCAAGACTAACTAGCCACTGAATCCCTTCATAAAAGTTACCTTGCTCAAGCTCCAACATATACATGTTGACCATAATTTTCCTCACAAACAATTAATTCATTTTATTGTCTGGATATATATTTTTCACTTACACCAGCCTTCAAAAATTTTAATTTTCCCTCGTTTCCTCAACTTTTAATGCTCTCATCTTACATTTTTACTTTGCCTTATGCAACATATAATCAGAGAGGCAACAGGCAGTACTGGATGAGTGATAATGTTCCATTAGTTACTGCCAACACAAGCTTGCCTTTTCTAACATGGAACTAAACAAATTTTTGGGTTATGTAAATATTATGCAGAGAATTTGCAGTGTGGAAATTAGGAGGTGGTGTGGAGTTACTTAAAGTATTAGTTAGAGGGCTGAAGAGGGGTTGTTGAGGTGGTCTGGTCATTTAGAGAGAATGGATCAAAGTAGAATGACTTGGAGAGCTTATAAATCTGTAGGGGAAGGAAGGCGGGTAGGGGTCATCCTCGAAAAGGGTGGAGGGAGGGGGTTGAGGAGGTTTTGTGGGTGAGGGGCTTGGACTTCCAGCAAGCACATGTGAGCGTGTTAAATAGGAATGAATGGAGGCGAATGGTTTTTGGGACCTGACGAGCTGTTGGAGTGTGAGCAGAGTAATATTTAGTGAAGGGATTCAGGGAAACTGGTTATTTTTATAAAGCCAGACTTGAGTACTGGAAATGGGAAGTACAATGCCTGCACTTTAAAGGAGGGATTTCGGATATTGACAGTTTGGAGGGATATGTTATACTAATTTTTTTTTTCCAACAAGTCGGCCATCTCCCACCGAGGCAGGGTAACCCAAAAAAGAAAGAAAATCCCTAAAAAGAAAATACTTTCATCATCATTCAACACTTTCACCTCACTCACACATAATCACTGTTTTTGCAGAGGTGCTCAGAACACAACAGTTTAAAAGCATATACGTATAAAGATACACAACATATCCCTCCAAACTGCTAATATCCCGAAACCCCTCCTTTAGAGTGCAGGCATTGTACTTCCCATTTCCAGGACTCAAGTCCGGCTATATAAAAATAACCAGTTTTCCTGAATCCCTTCACTAAATATTACCCTGCTCACACTCCAACACCTTTATATATGCTTCTAAACTGTTTTATCTGGGAACCTCGGCAAAGACAGTGATTATGTGCAAGTGAGGTGAAAGTGTTGAATGATGATGAAAGTATTTTCTTTTTGGGGATTTCCTTTCTTTTTGGGTCACCCTGCCATGGTCGGAGACAGCCAACTTGTTGAAAAAGAAAAAAAGTCCCACAAATCTAGAATCTGCAAAAACATAAAATTATCTGCATAATGCTTAATTTCAGATTTGGACTCATTCTGCATTTCAGAGAGTAATCTCTTTAAATACCTCTAATGCGGTTAATACCGACAGTCTTAAAAATGACTAAAACAGGAGACTTGAGCATGGGAAAAATCACTGAACACATTTTGAGCAAAATATTATGGATATTTTTCATTTTAGGAATAGTGTTCTAAGCCTCCTAAAACAAGCACCAATTAAAACCTGCCTCGGTGGGAGACGGCCGACTTGTTGAAAAAAAAAAAAAAAAAAAAAAAAAAATTATTCACAGGCTGCTCATCGGTAAAAACAATGCTTAACAACAACACAAATTTGGGGGGTATGGTTGTATAGACAATTTTTTATTTTAATTTTTTCTCCCATGTATACCTAGGGGAGTAATTTAGTAGAGGGTATATTGCACATACTTCTACTACGTGTATATAACCACTTCCTAAAATGCCAGGCAGCCATAAAATAGGAAAAATTTAAGGTTAATATTACCCTTCTGGACTGAATGATGTCTTCATTATGTTGAGTTTGCCCCTTTTCTTCTTCAGCAGTCTTAGAATTTTGGAGAATTTGTTTGATATTTGTCTGCAACAAAGGTGAACAGTAAATATTTTTACATATTGATCTAGAAGTTATTTAATAAACCTAAAAATAAAAACAGCAATCCTTTAGTATACACTGACACATTCCAATCTTTTAATAATGTTAATTTCCTGCTGGAAAGAATGCACACAGCCACTCTCTTTCTGAATGTCCCGAGAAATATTTTTTTATTAACACATCAGCAGTCTCCCACCAAGGCAGGGTAGCCCGAAAAACAATAATTGTCACCATTATTCATTCCATCACTGTTTTGCCAGAGATGCACTTACACTAGTTATAAAACAGCAACATTAACACCCCTCCTCCAGAGTGCAGGCACTGTACTACCCATCTCCAGGGCTCAAGTCCGGCCTGCCGGTTTCCCTGAATCTCTTCACAAATGTTACCTCATTTAGACTCCATATGCAATGGATTTTCAATATTTCCAGCCAGATAACCAAGGTGTGGTCAAAGCTCTACACAAGTCATCTTTTCTTTTTGGTTAAAACATAATGTAGACAGAAGTTGCATCTTGCTTTCTATTTACAGTCTTTTCAAATTCTTATTATGGATGATAATTTAGGCATATAAAATATTTACTTTAGATATAAAGCACATTAATGGCAGAATTCTGCTCTCTATTGTTAACAGCCAAGCAAAATTAAAATAAGGATACAAAATATATACCAACTACTTGGTAAGGCAGCTCCACCTCCCCTCTCCCCATTAATATTGAAGATTAAACTCGGAAAAATACTGGTAGAAGGGGCTTATCCCAGATGTGAGAGTAATACTCAGGTAAAGGATTAATTAATGTGTGGTGTTTTCCAAGAAGTCACTGATGCAGACCTCTGCCTCAGAGGTATAGACCATGTACATTGGTAGGTCTCTGGAACGTGGCAGGCCTGGTAGGCCCTAGAGATAAGCAACTATACAGGGTTCAGCAGGATGTTGGCATTTGGCTATCCTCATTCCACAGCAATCATCCCAAGACTAAACTCAGTAAACTGAGCAGTGGGCACATGTACCTCACACATGGCCACTTTCTTACAAGTGATCATGCCTGTCTCTCCTGTGCAGCTTGTGGTATGCTGCAACTGTACTGCAAATCATTACATAGAATATTTTTGAGTAGTACAATATAACATACAGTATTGCAAAGAGCCTAACTGTGTAACAGGAAAAGTCTCACTTCAAATTTAACACTATTAAGTGTGAAGAGCTTACCATAACATTGTTGTAGAAAGTAACACCAGGTGGGCCAGAGACAGAGCTAGAAGATTGGTTTTGGGCCTGGAGGTTATTTTCATATGCCTTAGCACTCTCTCCCAAGGCTAAGGAATCTACCCATTCAACACTTCTATCATTCCTGCAGCAATATGCAGAATCTTCTGTTATTAAAACATTAGGTATTAATACATACAAAGGTACTGTAACTAAACCAAAGGCTACGTAATCACAATGCTCATAGCTAGTAGATTTAAGGAACTAAAATTATAATAACCAAGCTACAGGTAGTCCCTCTTTAATAATGCTTTATTCAGAAAATAATTGTTTCAACAAATGTTACTTTTCTGGGCACAACTGTTTGGTGAAAGCAAGAATCTATTTATGGATCAATATGTTCTAGTAACAAGTGACTATTATTTATGAAGAACATTCATGCAGATGTTGAAGGCAAGTTGACAAAGAAACTTCTAGGGAGATAATAAGGTTGCTTTCAGTGAAATAAAAATAAATTTGAAAAATACTAAATTTAAAAATTACAATAAATTCAGAGATTACTTCCCAGTAAAAGTAGGTCTTAGACAGGGATGTGTAATGTTACCATGGTTGTTTAATATATGTATTTATAGATGGGGTTGTGAAAGAAGTACAGTGGTACCTCGAGTTACAAACTTAATTCGTTCCAGAAGGCTGTTCGAGTGCCAATACCGAACGAATTTGTTCCCACAAGAAATACTGTAAATTAGATTAGTCCGTTTCAGACCCCCAAAAATACACTTACAAAAGCACTTACAAAAATACACTTACAAAAGCACTTACAAAAATACACTTACATAATTGTTCGAGTTGGAAGCTGTTCGAAACTCGAGGTACCACTGTAAATGCTAGGGTGTTGGGGAGAGGGGTGGGATTAAATTATGGGGAATCAATACAAAATGGGAGTTGACACAGTTACTTTTTGCTGATGATACTGTGCTTATGGGAGATTCTAAAGAAAAGTTGCAAAGGTTAGTGAACGAGTTTGGGAGGGTGTGTAAAGGTAGAAAGTTGAAAGTGAAAATAGATAAGAGTAAGGTGATGAGGGTATCAAACAATTTAGATAAAGAAAAATTGGTTATCACATTGGAGAGAGGGGATATGGAAGAAGTGAATGTTTTCAGATACTATTTGGGAGTTGACATGTCAGTGGATGGGTTTATGAAGGATGAGGGTAATCATAGAATTGATGAAGGAAAAAAGGCGAGTGGTGCGTTGAGGTATTTGTGGAGACAAAAAAATGTTATCCATAGAGGCAAAGAAGGGAATTTATGAAAATATAGTGGTACTAACACTCTTATATGGGTGTGAAGCTTGGGTTGTAAATGCTGCAGTGAGGAGGCGGCTGGAGGCAGTGGAGATGTCGTGTCTAAGGGCAATGTGTGATGTAAATATTATGCAGAGAATTCAGAGTGTGGAGTTAATAAAAGTATTAGTCAGAGGGCTGAAGCGGGGCTGTTGAGGTGGTTTGGTCATTTAGAGAAAATGGATCAAAGTAGAATGACTTGGAGAGTGTATAAATCTGTAGGGGAAGGAAGGCGGGGTAGGGGTCGTCCTCGAAAAGGTTGGAGGGAGGGGGTAAAGGAGGTATTGTGGGCGAGGGGCTTGGACTTCCAGCAAGCGTGCATGAGTGTGTTAGATATGAGTAAATGGAGATGAATGGTTTTTGGGACATGACGAGCTGTTGGAGTGTGAGCAGGGTAATATTTAGTGAAGGGAATCAGAGAAACCAGCTATTTTTATATAGCCAGGCTTGAGTACTGGAAATGGGAAGTACAATGCCTGCACCTTAGAGGAGGTATTTGGGATATTGGCAGTTTGGAGAGGTATCTTATACAAGTATCTTCAGGAGGCAGTGAGAACATGGAGAACACTAGCAGAGTGAAGGAAGATAGTGGAAGTGCAGGAGACAGTGAGAACATGGAGAACACTAGCAGAGTGAAGGAAGATAGTGGAAGTGCAGGAGACAGAAAATGGAGAACACTAGCAGAGTGAAGGAAGATAGTGGAAGTGCAGGAGGCAGTGAGAACATATATGCTTCTCAACTGTTGTAGCTGGGTGGCTCTGCGAAGACAGTGATTATGTATGAGTGAGGTGAAAGTGTTGAATGATGATGAAAGTATTTTCTTTTTGGGGATTTTCTTACTTTTTGGGTCACCCTGCCTAGGTGGGAGACGGCGGACTTCTGGGGGGACGGGGGAATGCTACACACAGTATAGTAGGACCTCCCATATCTGTGGGGGATACACTGCAAGGATGTGCCGTGGATACCGAAACCATGGATAGAAGCTAACCCTATACATGTCAATTATCATTTACATACATACCTATTATAAAGTTTAATTGAAAAATTATGCATAATAAGTGGAGAATTATCACTTTTTCAATGATGGGAAGCACTTCACAGCTTCTCTTAAGCTTTGGAGAACTTCCACCATCACTACTTTTGCACTCTTAAACCATTATTAAGCAAACATTAAGGGTTGTTTTCGGGCCACGGCAAACCGCAGATAACTGAAACCGTGGATACAGGACCCGCAGATATGGGGGTTCCACTGTATGCATCCATAACCTACAATACAAATTTCATTGCTAGTCTTCCTAAACTAAATGGCAAGCATAAGTACAAAGTACAAGAAATTATGAAAATGTTTTGAAACTGAAAACTATTTTTTGGGCCTTTACCCTGATGTGACTTTAAATTTCATTTAATAACTGGGTTTAATGAAAAATTAACTATGGTGTGAAGTGATTTAATAAAATGACATTAGAATGTAATGAATACAGTATATGCATCTTTACATGCTAATAAGTATAATATCAGACATTTTGGGACCTACCTAGGACAACCATTATTTGATTCACTCACAATGTCACCACAATTGTTTGTCATGTTGACAGGAGTGGCTTGCTCTGTTCTCAAGTCATTTCTCTCTGTTAATGATTCTTCTTTCTCTTGATCACATCTGGGTCTCCTACCATAACTGGAACCCAAGTGATTAGCAACAGTATCACATTGTCGATCAGAATCCACAAAATCCATCCAAGTTAAATCTGTGTTCACGCCAACAGATTTTGTTTCTGGTATGGTGCTATCTGATGTCTGTGTGGATATTTCTCTTTGAAGACACTCTCGATTCAAACTGCTCCTTTTTGCATATATTATTTTATCCTTTACGACTTCACCTGTTGCTACATCTTTGGGGGATTCAATTTCCTGCTGTTTTCTCATGATGTAGTCTAAAGTTTTAGTCAGCTTTAAAATTTGAAGGTTCTGATCTTCGATTAGATGATAAACCATTGGGTCTGTTGGACTGTACAATCTACCACCTGCCAGAGGATAGTAGCTGGGAGGTTCTGGATGAACACACTCTTGATTAATAGGAAGAGATCTTTGACCCTGGAAATTTTGATTAGTCTGAAGAGCTTGTAAAGGAAGGGAGGTAGAAAGAGGTGAAAAGTAATTTCTATGAACACTGTTCATTCTTTCTTCATTAACTTGACTGCTCACATTTTCTTTGTTCTGAAGCAAAGGAGAATTATTAGAAAAGTCACTATTTTTAATGGAAATGTTGGTTTCGGTTTCAACGGGATGAGTAGTATTCTTAATAGCAGGTAAAACCTGATTTATTAATGGTTTAAGTGCTGAACCATTTTTGAAAATATATGGGTTAACATCATTCTGACTGGAATGTGGATGTGTCAAAATCTTTTCTGTGCAAGTTGCATAATTCTGCACAACAGGCATTTTATTTTTTGTCATTGGGGAGACATGTTTTTTTAAACCATCAGTCCCAAAATCATATAAATCATTCCTTGCTGCAATTTTATGTGCAGGACTATACACCTGGGGATTATAAGGCCTCTCATTTGTAGCCGTGTTAATAGATGGACTTATGAGAGGTGAAGTGCCTACATATTTTGACAGATTTTCTTGAGAATCATTAAGCCTCCTTGGCAATATCCCACCAGCCACACTGTCTTTTACTTGACTTGAAATGTATCTTGGAGAGGACTCAAAATGAACATTTCTGACTTGTGATATCCTTGGTGAAGAGTTGGAATAGGTATTCTTTCCTAAAACTTTCCCCACATCCTGTATGGAAGAGCTTTTTGAGTTGCCAACAATTTGAGTACAGATTTGGTCTTTATCTTGGCTTAACTGATTTCCAAAAGCTGTTGCTCTTTCATTTGGAAGACTGTGCCGTGATCCTTGCCATATTAGACTGTCATCACTATCAAACATCAGCGACACCTCAGGTACCACAGGCTTGGGTGTGCTCAACTGCAATGAAAGATTATACAATATTACCTTAGTATAAAATGTACTAAAACCTTCATAATTCTTAGTAAAACCTTTTCCAGTATGTACATATTATTAATGGGGCTTAATTTTATTGCTATAAAGCAGCAGCTTAATAAATATTTCGAAGATTTTGAAAAACAGAGTAATTACCAGTTCTGTAAATTCTAGATTTTGTGAGCTCATCAGGCATTTATTACCACAAAGAATGAAGGACAAGTAGAGTATGTATGTGTGTGTGTGTGTATGTGTGTGTGTGTGTGTGTGTGTGTGATATATATATATATATATATAAAATATATATATATTATAATATATATATATATATATGGTATTAATTGACTGACGATCTTTGGAGTTGTGAGCAGGGTATATTTAGTGAAAGGATTCAGGGAAACGGTTATTTTCATATAGTCGGACTTGAGTCCTGGAAATGGGAAGGTAATATGCCGGCACTTTAAAGGAGGGGTTTGTGATATTGGCAGTTTGGAGGGTATGTTGTGTATCTTTATTTGTTTGTATGGCATTGTCTAGACTGTTGTATTCTGAGCACCTCTGCAAAAACAGTGATAATGTGCGAGTGTGGTGAAAGTGTTGAATAATGATGAAAGTATTTTCTTTTTGGGGATTTTCTTTCTTTTTTGGGTCACCCTGCCTCGGTGGGAGACGGCCGACTTGTTGAAAAAAAAAAAAAAATATATAATATATTTATAAATATTATATATATATATAATAATTATAATATTATTATGGAGGCAAAGAGGGAATGTATGAGAAGTATAGTTTTACCAACGCTTATATGGGTGTGAAGCGTGGGTGATGAATTTGCAAGACGAGAAAGGCTGGAGGCAGGTTGGAGATGTCATGTTGAGGGCAATGTGTGGTGGAATATTAATGCAGAGAATTCGTAGTTTAGGAAGCTTCAGGGAGGTGCGGATACCAAAACTGATGTCCAGAGGGCTAGGATGGGTTTTGAGGTGGTTCGGACATGTAGAGAGAATGGAGCGAAACAGAAGACTTCAAGAGTGTATCAGTCTGTAGTGGAAGGAAGGCGGGGTAGGGTCGGCCTAGAGGTTTGGAGGGAGGGGGTAAGGAGGTTTGGTGTGCGAGGGGCTTGTTGACTTACAGCAGGCATGCTGTGAGCGTGTTTGATAGGATGGAATGGAGACAAATGGTTTTTAATACATGACGTGTGTTGGAGTGTGAGCCAAAGTAACACTTTATTAAGGGATTCAGGGAAAACGGCAGGCCGGACTTGAGTCCCGGAGATGGGAAGTAGTGCCTGCACTCTGAAGGAGGGGTTGTTAATGTTGCAGTTTAAAAACTGTAGTGTAAAGCACCCTTCTGGCAAGACATGATGGAGTGAATGATGGTGAAAGTTTTTCTTTTTCGGGCCACCCTGCCTGGGTGGGAATCGGGCCGGTATGGATAAGTAAGAAAAAAAAAAAATATATTATTATTATAATAATTTAATAAACACTTTACATTTTTCTAAACACTTTGGCACTATTATTCAGAAGAATTTAAATGAACATAGACAATAAAACTAAATAGTTCATTGAATGAATTCAAACCTTATTTATCTATACCTATCAACAATAATACACTAAGGTAAATTGTATCTACACGAAAATCCTGTATCTGGTTATGTCAATATCCACTGCATTTTGGGCAGAATTTATGCTAATATTATTAGGAGTTTAAGGTAGTAGGTTAGTAGACAGCAACCACTCAGGGAGGCACTACCGTCCTACCAAGTGAATGTAAAGAGGAAGCCTGTATTTTGTTTTACATGATGGTAGGATTGCTGGTGTCTTTTTTTCTGTCTCAAACATGCAAGATTTCAGGTATACATCTTGTTACTTTTATTCACACTTAGGTCACACTACACATGCATGTACATGTTTATGTATACACACTCATCTGAGTTTTCTTTGATTTTATCTTAATAGTTCTTATTCTTATTGCTTTTCCTTTCATATCCATGTGGAAGTGGAATAAGAATCTTTCCTCCGTAAGCCATGCGTGTTTTAAAAGTCAACTAAAATGCCAGGAACAATGGGCTACTAACCCCTTTTCCCATATAGCTTACTAAGAAGAAAAAGAAGAAAACCGTCAAAGTGGGATGTTTGAATGTGCGTGGATGTTGTGCGAATAATAAGAAAGAGATAATTGTGGATGTTCTGAATGAAAAGAAGCTGGATGTCCTGGCTTTAAGTGAAACAAAGCTGCAGGGGATAGGAGAGTTTCAGTGGGGAGAAATAAATGGGATTAGGTCAGGGGTTTCAAATAAATGGGATTAGGTCAGGGGTTACAAATAGAGTTAGAGCTAAAGGAGTAGCAATAATGTTGAAGGATAGGTTATGGCAGGAAAAGAGGGAATATAAATGTATAAATTGAAGGATTATGTGGAGTAAAATAAGGGTTGGATGTGAAAAGTGTGCTATAGTAAGTGTTTATGCACCTGGAGAAGAGAGAAGTGTAGAAGAGAGAGATTTTGGGAAATGTTGAGAGTGCATGGGGAGTTCTGAATCAAGTGAGAGAGTAATTGTGGATGGGGATCTCAATACTAAAGTGGGTAAAAATGTTGTGGAGGGAGTAGTAAGTAAATTTGGGGTGCCAGGGGTAAATAAAAATGGAGAGCCTTTAATTGAGCTATGTGTAGAAAGAGGTTTGGTAATAAGTAATACATATTTTATGAAAGAGAGGATAAATAAGTATAAAAGATATGATATAGCATGTAATGAATGTAGTTCATTAGGTTGTGTATTGGTGGATAAAAGGTTGATGGGTACGCTTCAGGATGTACATGTTGATAGATGGGCAACTGATATATTGGATCATTAATTAGTTGTAGCTACAGTTAAAGTAAGAGGTAGATGGGACAAAATGGAAATGGAAACAGCAAGAGAGAGGTGAAAGTATATAAACTAAGGGAAGAGGAAGTTAGGGTGAGATATAAGCAACTATTGGCAGAAAGGTGTAGTAAGTAAGTTTATTCAGGTATACACAAATACAGTTACATAGAATTATCATACATAGCAGCATGTGTGTAGAGAACCTAGGATAACCCAAAAAAGTCAAATACAAGTGAGCTAATACAAGTATGAGTAGTGGGGAGACTGAAGAGGGTTGGGATAGTTTTAAAAAGGCGGTATTAGAATGTGGGGCAGAAATTTTGTGGCTATAGGAGGGTAGGTGCAGGAGGAAAGAGTGACTTGTGGAATGATGAAGTAAAGGGTGTGATAAAAGAGAAGACAGTAGCTTATGAGAGGCTGAGGGACTGATTACCTCAAACTACTCCTGTTCTTCACCGTTCTCCTTTGTATGGATTGACAAAGCCATTGTGTGGCTAAACATTTCCTCATTAAAGATACCCATGTGTTGCACGTGTCTAATTTATCAACTTGTCGGTTCTCTGAACCATTCATCTACAGGAGTAGAGTATATGGAGAGTAAAAGAAAGGTGAAGAAAGTGGTGAGAGTGCACAAAAGGAGAGCAGTTGATAGTGGGGGAGAGGCACTGTCAAGAAATTTTGCAGAAAATAAGAAAAATTCTGGAGTGAGAAAAGCAAGTTAAGAAAGCCTAGGGAACGAATGGATTTGTCAGTTAAAAACAGAATAGGGGAGTTAGTAGATGGGGAGCTGGTGGTATTGGGTAGATGGCAGGAATATTTTGAGGAACTTTTTAAATGTCGATGAAGAAAGGGAGGCAGTAATTTCATGCACTGGCCAGGAAGGAGTAGCATCTTTTAGGAGTGAAGAAGTGCAGGATGTGAGTGTGGGGGAGGTGCGTGAGGCATTACATAGAATGAAGGGGGGTAAAGCAGCTGGAACTGATGGGATCATGACAAATGTTAAAAGCAGGGGGTGATAAATTGTTGGAGTGGTTGGTATTTTTGTTTAATAAATGTATGAAAAAGGGGAAGGTACCTAGGGATTGGCAGAGAGCGTGTATAGTTCCTTTATATAAAGGGAAGGGGACAAAAAAAATTATAAAGTGTACGGTAGGGTTATTATTGAAAGAATTAGAGGCAAGACAGAGAGGATTGCAGATGAGGTGTATAAATGGAAAACAGAAATGAATAAAGGGAATGTAAATAGCGTGCTAAAAAATATCTAGCCTAGCAAGGACTCGCAGCAATGGTTTTAAGCTGGAAAAATTCAGATTTGGGAAGGATATACGAAAGCACACGTTTGGTAACAGAGTTGTGGATGGTTGGAACAAACTCCCGAGTAAAGTTAAAGAAGCTAAGACGTTGTGTAGTTTTAAAAATAGGTTAGATAAATACATGAGTGGGTGTGGGTGGGTGTGAGTTAGACCTGACTAGCTGGTGCCACTGGGTCAGATGCCATGCTCCTTCCTTAAGTGGAAGTGACCTGGCTGGGTGGGCCATTGGTCTAAGCTGGGGGTTGACATGGACCTGCCCCGCATGGGCCAGTAGGCCTGCTGCAATGTTCCTTCTTTCTTATGTTCTTACGAGCAAGGAGGCTTTAGAGTGGGTAGGGGATGTGTAGATCAAGTGTTTACATTAAAGCATATATCTGAACAGTATTTAGATAAAGGTAGGGAAGTTTTCATTGCATTTATGGATTTAGAAAAGGCACGTGATAGAGTGGATAGAGGAGCAATGCGGCAGATGTTACAAGTGTATGGAATAGGTAATAACTTACTAATTGCTGTAAAGAGTTGTTACGAGGATAGTGAGACTCAGGTTAGGGTGTGAAGGAGAGAGGGTAAAAGTAGGTTTCAGACAGGGATGTGTAATGTCACCATGGTTGTTTAATATATTTATACATGGGGTTGTGAAAAAGGTAAATGCTAGGGTGTTGGGGAGAGGGGTGGGATTAAATTATGGGGAATCAAATACAAAATGGGAGTTGACACAGTTACTTTTTGCTGATGATACTGTGCTTATGGGAGGCTCCAAAGCAAAGTTGCCAAGGTTAGTGGATGAGTTTGGGAGGGTGTGTTAAGGTAG